TTTTTTTTTCATTATTATTAGAGGACGCTTACGTGCGTAATCATTCCATATTTGGATTCGCATTTCCTAATATGGTAGGATGAACATACCCTGTAAAATACCACAAATTTACGGCACGCTGTAACTTATGGCGTTACAGTAACAGATGTATAATAATTATATATATTGATACTGTACATTACATGCTTTAAAAATCTTTTCAAATGAAATCATAATTTGATATCTCATCATTTTATTTTATCTTTGTTTCAGGTGTCACCGCCTGCATATGAGGTAAGCTTTGTCATATTCAGGTAGTATAAATCTACCAATGCAACATGTTATGCCATATAGTGAAAACTATATACATTTTTGTGATGCAGTCATCTTATTAATGATATCATCGATGTCATCTGTGTTGTAATAGCTGGAATCTCATGGTATAATGTCATAGCTGTGATGTCATCTGTGATGTAATAGCTGGAATTTCATAGTATGATGTCATAGCTGTGATCTCATAGTATGATGTCATAGCTGTGATCTCATAGTATGATGTCATAGCTGTGATCTCATAGTATGATGCCATAGCTGTGATCTCATAGTATGATGTCATAGCTGTGATCTCATTACTGAGGTCATAGCTGTGATCTCATAGTATGATGTTATAGCTGTGATCTCATAGTATGATGTCATAGCTGTGATCTCATAGTATGATGTCATAGCTGTGATCTCATAGTATGATGTCATAGCTGTGATCTCATAGTATGATGCATAGCTGTGATCTCATAGTATGATGTCATAGCTGTGATCTCATTACTGAGGTCATAGCTGTGATCTCATAGTATGATGTTATAGCTGTGATCTCATAGTATGATGTCATAGCTGTGATCTCATTACTGAGGGTCATACTGTGATCTCATAGTATGATGTTATAGCTGTGACCTCATGGTATGATGTCATATTTGTGATCTCATTACTGAGGTCATAGCTGTGATCTCATAGTATGATGTTATAGCTGTGGTCTCATGGTATGATGTCCTGGCTGTGATCTCATTGCTGAGGTCATAGCTGTGATCTCGTATGATGTTATAGCTGTGGTCTCATGGTATGATGTCAAAGCTGTGATCTCATTACTCATGTCATAGCTGTGATGTCATCTGTGATGTCATAGATGTGATCTCATGTCTATGATGTAAAAGCAATGATCTTGTGGTTGTGAAATCTCTTCCCAAAATCTCTGCAATATGGACGTAAATATAGTTTAGGAATAAATATAACAAATATTCTATAAAATTTTATAAAATATTATTAGATTTAATTTAATTTTTTTTCTAGACTAGTCTATTATTCAATTACTCTCAATCTCTAGCCATACACTACATATTCATTCACAATAATTTATCTGGTCACATGACCCTAAATTTGCATATCCAATATAATTGCATAACAGATACATAAGTTTTTGGTCACATATTGTACACACTTTATGCATGTTGTCATGACAATTCAACTTGTTATCGTGTCATTTGTGTTATTTTGAAATGTAACCTTTCATTTCAAATCGATTTCCATAATTTGGTTGTGTTTCAATTCTGTATCATGAATGTATGCACAGTGAGCACTGGTCTTGTTATTTTCAAGATGTCTGTATACTTATAATGTGTATCTTATTGTTGTATCTTACGATAGGACGTCACCAAACAGTCTGCACCACCAGATCAACCGCCACCAGCGTATTCAGTAAAATAACCAAATATATACTGACTTAAAGATGCCATTTTTTTTACAGAAAGTAGAGGCTGAACTGAGTCTATTTGTAATTATGTAAAATATGCGTTTTAGTTTTTTATCTGTCTCTTAATCGACACAGTTTAACTGGAGGGGGGGGTGCCAAACCGAGAAAGTCAACAAATTAATTCCAGCAAAAATGTTTTACACACAGGTCCCACTCTGTGAAACAAAGTGTCAGATATTCGGACAACAATCAATTCTCGTTTTATAAACTATCATTCCCCTTCCTGATAAAAAAGTGATGATGCACCTTTAGATACAGTTGTTAATAGTAACCTTTATCATTGCTTTGTTCACTGTTCCACTACTGAGGGCGCACTTTGTCACTCTGTTTAGTTTTTAATACTCCTTATCCTTGTCACTAATATTACGTGCAATATGTAATTATTTGTTTTGTACTATTTAATGAATATTACTAGAATTTTTTTTACATGAGTTTGATTGGATTGTGAGCTTAAAGATTTGTTAAGGGAGTCTGGTCGGTAGTTGGGATGTCACCGAAATGTGTCAAAATATTATACTTGCATCTGACACTGTATTGTAAGACCTATATATCAGATGACATCAAGCAAGCAGAGACATCAGCAAAAACTTAGAGTCTTTTGCATTGACTTTTTCAGGAACAATTCAGTGCATGTTTCACCTCTATTTATTATATAGTGTATCCAGCAATCCTCAACGAAACTTTGTAATAATACAGGTACAAGTTATTTTATTGTTTTTATGACCAATGTTTCATTATAACATACGGTAAAACTACCCTTTTGAACTAGCCTTGTATTTTAGCTCATTTGTATTTTTGTCTGGTTCAGGACATAAATTATTCTTAAAATGAAATAGTAATTGTCATTTTGCTCAACTGGTATGATGTAACCATGGTTACATTAAATAAATTTGAAAGTATGGACGAAGACAAAATTGTAGGTAACTGGGTAATCTACATTTTTATCTTCTACAGCTTGAGGTTTAGAGTGACACAAACAAAACAAGAACATTGATATCTCATTAAATTGTGTACATAAATTAATCCTTTGTTTACTCTTCCCATGTGTATAGAATCATTAAACAGAAATGTACCTTTTAGGAGCAACCCTTGTCAATACGGGATGTTGGAGCAACAGCGCCCTCTAGCGGATAATTACAATGAGCCATAAACTTTACATCAATCATTATATCAAAATAAATTGCTATTTTTAGCTCTAACTGAACCACATGCAACCCATTTATTAAATTATTGATTATTATTATTGATATATTGCTAGTTTCAGAATGTAGTTAAAGATTCACCATTTTACTTTGTGTGTATTTTGGTGTCTAGATACAAGTAAAAATCACATCTTTGCCAGCTTGTATTTTCATAGAAGTTCTTTTAATAATAAACAAAATATAAAAATGAAGCTGTTGGTGGTAGTTTGTATTTCTTTCCAGTATTTAATTTTCCATATATATACCAGGTACACTACTATAAACCATAGGAAATGTCCATGATTTGGAAATCCATAATGTTCTCTCCTGTGTGCCTATAGAAATTCATGCTTTTATATATTTTTTTTTGTCTGATTTTTTTTTTATTCAGTAGCTATCATGGAGGGATGTCTGTTATTGGTATTGACTACTGTATCCACTGATATGTAAAGTGTAATGGGAATAGATGGTACACAGGTTTATACATGTCTTTTTCGCGAGCATGTCTTTTTAGGGAATTTTATTTAAGAACTGATTTCCTAATTCAAGATGTCGCTAATGACTTTATTATAAATTCAAAATGGCCAAGGCTTGGGGATTTGTATACAGTAATCCGGAACATAAAAATCTGGGGAGCTTCATGATTACCGATACACTTGTCAGTTTTTCTTTGTTTTTATGGAGGTGGTATCTGCACATTTGTTTTGACACACGACAGAAAAGTATTGTGAAAACAGGAAATCAACAGAGACAAGAGAGATTCGCTAAATCAACATTTTGCTATTGCGTCATTTTACCACAATTCGCTAAAATTGCATGTCGCTTTTTCAACATGTTTTACAGTATATCTAATTGTATCATTTTTCCAGGGCAATATTTGACCTTTGACCCATTAACTCGTGAGGTGGATATAATGCTGTTCTTCAAAAATGATCAATAATCTATGTAGATGTTATTTGATACATAACTTCATAAAACTATTCATGCACAAATTTATCCCCTGAGATTTTGTTTCAAGTCAAGTGCTTAAAAGAAAGGTACATATAGTCACATGATATAAATAACACATTTTGATTGGATGAATGTCAAATAACTAATGGGGTACAAAACTACAACGAACACGAAGACACCACATTAACAAAATCTGCAATGTCCCTTTACTTGCAAAAAATACTGACAGGGGTGTGTAGCTGGTTGTTTGAAACCCCTACCCCTTATCAGACAGAAATAAACTCAAATTGCCTACCCCTTTTCAGACAAACTGAGGATGTTTGACACCCCTTTCTAGACAATAAGCAAAAATGGCACCAAGGGAAAAGCAGGTGGACTCCCCGGGACGGACTTCGGAGATCAAAATGAAGTTACAGAAAGAAAAAAATCGATTGTTGGATTGCTCTAGAGATAGTCTTTGGAAAATATGGACTTTTTTTTCACACAGAAATAATGAAAAAAGGATACCCCCTTTCAGGCAAACAGGGTAAAATAACATACCCCTTTTCAGACAGAAGTCGTGAATTTGGAACCCCTTTTGGCGGCACATATACATATAGCACTTCAATATGAGTAACCCCCCCCCCCCCGGGTACTATTGAGTCTGGACTCAATACATGCTTCATATTCTGTTTTTTTTAATAATATGGTGTTCAAATTTCATTTAAATAAACAATGTATTTTACACGCGTTGTATACGTCGCTATGAATCCCATATCGAATAGCACGCGGCGCTCTTTAAAGTATCCCTGCATGAATCTCAAATGAAATGAAGTGCGCCACTAGCGGACATTTGAAGAAAGGTTAATTACGTGTATATTTTTCGCTACAGGCGAAAACCTTTGAAGCTACGAAATTAAATACACAAAATCCTCTTCTTCATCTTACATTATCGCGAACTGTCTTAGTTATGTGGAAACTTATGATATTTAATCCAGTATGCAATAAATCTTGATGCGGGTATTTTATTTAAGGTTAGTAGTTCACAGTTGAATACATGACATTTTTGAAACGAACAACTAATTACAATAAATAAGTACACCCGCTTTACGCCCCGTCGCATTTTTATCCTCGCATTTTTTGTTTTACTGTCCTTTTGCTTCTATTCTCCTTTTTTATTTGCGGGTTTTCATCCTTTCTTAATATCATATCTCGGTCGCCTAAACGTTCAATAAATCAGATGAAAACATCCATTATAATGATTGACATATTGCCAGGGTGTCAGAAAGCAGAATGTGGGTCTAGAACCCTTAGTAATCTAAGTGCAAATATCATTTTGTATTCAAAATAAATTAACACAATGCATTAACACACGCTTTCACCTTTTGTTTTTACAAATATTGTACAACATATTGGTTTTAAAAATAGTAGTACCCGCATTCAAGTTCTCCAGTCGAGGCCATAGGGGGCGATTAGTCGTGAACAAATAGAATATTACAGCAATATTTCATTATATATTAGACTGAACATTGGAGAACAGTCTTACGGTGTAAGTGCATTGACTTCGATTACTCGTAACTTGGTTCATCCATAGTATGCCTGACGTTTCAGTGGACCCTAACCAACTCACACAGGATGATATGTATGCCAAAGAAATGTACGTCCAGGCAAAGCACTTTTACCAGGATGTAGCTTTCCCGTCCATTTGTCCGCATACAAGCTTGGAGGCCATGAAGACATTCGAAGTTAGAGAAGATGATGTTTTTATTGTGACTTTCCCGAAATCTGGTATGCGAGTTATAATAATTTGTCGCCAAATTAACTACAAATTAGTAACCTCGATCGGATAACCAATTATTGGAACAAGTGCAGTACGTCTCAATGGTGTCATTATCAAATTATATTAGTACTAGTAGGTTAAAGGTCTGATGCTAATTATTTGCAAGTCTTGGATTTCAGAACTATCATAGTACCTGACTTACTCCACTCGAAACTTCCAAACAAATTATGAAATATTAATTGAATGCTGTGACCGTGACGGACTGATTCTACTTCGATATGAATTCGACTCCAATACAGATATGATCAACCTGGTTGACCCAAATAATTATAACAAAACAAAACAATTGTGTGTCTTTGTATAATTCCCAGTATACAGTACAGGTACCCGGTGATTAATTCAAGCGCGTTAACTTATTTAAAGCGGAGAGTCGCCACCTGCGCATGCGTCAGATGGCCATAGCGTGTCATTGTTTACAAACAACGTCTACCCATGAGCCTTTGCGTTTTAGCGTGTGTTGTTATCGTCGCTTGGGACTCAATTCCCGCGCGTGCGTAGTGACGACCCCTCCGCTTTAATATTATCATCAAAAGAATCCTATTTTGTAGGATAGACTATAAACAACCAAATACCATGGGATATATTATGCAATACAAAGAAACATAGTTTTTTCTCTGTGTGTGAGTGTGTCTTATCAACGTTGTGATGACTTCCATTTAATAAATTTACACCTACCAAGTGACTACCCGCACTACTTTTCATAATTTAGATCAATATTTAATTTAATTTAAGTCAAATCTGCGTAGCTTAGGATTAGTATAGGGGTACCATAAGCTTCGGAAACATTTCTATGTTAATTCGGACTCGATTAGTTGCTAACTAATTCAACTATATTAAAAGTTAATCCAGTGTGTGTCGTCACAGCGTGGGTAAGACGTATATGTGTGTGTTTATTTCACCTATATATTTAGGGTTGTTTCGTCCTAGTCTCACATCCCCGACCATGCTCTGGAAATCATGTTATTAGGGAACGACAAACATGTCCGAACTCCAAATCAGTAAGTGCATGATAATGTTGATATTTAATATTATTTCTCATTACAGGCGCCACTTGGACCACAGAGATTCTGTCTTTGATTCTAAATGGAGGTGATTTCCAGGCGGTTTCTAGGGTACGAATTGAAGATCGCGCCCCTTATCCCGAGTTTCACTTGAAGCCAAAACCAAATTACGAACAAGCCGCTGAAATGGCATCCCCACGAATCATACCTACACATTTACCAATGCATATACTACCTCCACAGTTAGACGAGAAGAAACCTAAGGTGAGTTTTGTCGGAGACGGGTAAAAAATATTGACTCTCGATTCTGATTTTATTGAGTTTTGTTACTTTGGCAATATTTTTTATTTGGGTAATTTGCCGAACATTTTCTGTTGTCAGATACTAAGCTCCAATACTGAGTTTTCCTCGAACTTCGTTTGAACAGCTTTAACATCCAGACTCGTTCATCGGGTCCAAATTAAATTCCTCGAACTTCGTTTGAACAGCTTTAACATTCAGAGTCGTTCATCGGGTCCAAATTAAATTCCTCGAACTTCGTTTGAACAGCTTTAACATCCAGACTCGTTCATCGGGTCCAAATTAAATTCCTCGAACTTCGTTTGAACAGCTTTAACATCCAGACTCGTTCATCGGTTCCAAATTAAATATAATAATGTCGGTGGTTAAAATAAATCTTTATTTTGATCGGCCATTTTTAAATAAAAAGGAATTAGTGAATTTCAAATTGGAGATTTTTGTGAAAAACTGAATAATTTCCTCAATATTGTCTGGCTATTACGGTGAAGTATAGGTGCTAAATATACAGTTCACGGTGGCCCACCCTGAAATGTGATATCGTTGCTGAACCGATTCTTATGTCCGCCATGTATTGTGAGGACGTAAATAAATCAAAATCTCCTTTTTATTTCAGGTAATTTACGTAGCCCGAAATCCTAAAGACATCGTAGCATCTATTTATTATCACCATAGCAAAGATATATTCTTGGAGACATATGAATCATGGGAACATTGTCTTGAAGAGTTCATAGGAAACGATAGTAAGTTAATCATTCGACAATAAATCACAAAAACCTCGTCATTTACAAAGTAATTAGAGAGGCGGAGTGGAGAACTTTGAGTTTTTTTAAATCATTCGTTCGATACTACATCTGGATACAAATATTGAGACAAGAATGTTCATAAAATAAAATCGTTATTTGTTGGCTAAAACAATGAAGAGATAATTCTAATACGAATGAGTGTTGGGATTACGTCGCATAATACTAATACCGTGTTTGCAGTCAAACTGATTATTTTGTTTTTATTTGACAATAGCTCATTTTCCATTGTTTTTATAAAGTTGCAATTATATCAAATTATTTTAACATGTTCAAAAATATTCAAATTATCTTTATCACTCTAAGTTACTGGCGCTATAAGTATCTCTATAATAACAATTACTATTATGAAATAGTCTAATATATGAAGATACAGAATCTAGGATCTTTAGGCCAAACAACATACTACTATACGTACTCGTAAAATGTTTCCACTACAGGGAAACGAAGATTATGAAGAGACAATTTAAGTCACGTGGGTTAGAATCGCATCTTGTAAAAAACAATAACAATATATATTATAAAATAAACACGTTGCTTTAGTAGCAAAGATAGTATAGTGCAAATCAGTGGAACAATAATAAGCTAGTGAGCGAACGCTTAAATTTATCTGTTGGTTAATGCTGCCACACGCGCATGCGCGTTGAATGACCAAAAGCAATCTATGTATTTGTATAATACTCAAAGTTATCCATGTTGCCCGGCCGCTTTAAAGTCCTTCTCATCCTGAAATTATTACATTTTTATTGTCTTTAACTTTTTACTATTTATTTGTGACAGTCATTTACGGTAACTGGCCAATCACGTGATTCCTTGGTGGAACAAGCGACGGGAAAGCAACGTTTTATTCTTGAAATACGAAGATATGAACAAGGTAAGCTTAACAACCTTGGGCCGTCACGGTGACTGTTCTACAGTATTCTATAGTGGAGCCGGCTAATGCCAGTAATATGCAAATCTAAACATAAATAATCATTAGAAACTTACATGGGCCTGTCAGGAAACTGATTTATGTAATTTGTGAATGAGACGACGCACCTGTCAGTGACGTCAGCATGCACCACTTACGTATTCGATAAAGATCAGTTTTACACATGCCACAGCACATTGACACGCAGATCGCCGCAAACCAATAGCGCCACCTGTGTTGACACAATGGCCACAGCATCCTCTTGCTGATTTGAATATGCATGAGGGTGTGGTTTAGCGGAACGGGCGTCGATAGGACAAGATCCTCTCTTGTCCTATCGACTCACCTTCACCGGACGCCCCAGACAATAACCCCTTCAGTCCTTGGTTACGGAAATTTGGCCTGAAGTTAGCAGGCCTTAGTTCAGGCTTAGAAATATATTTTACAAGTTGAATAGTTTATACTGGATCCTTGCTATGAGTTTGCGGAACCTGGTACAACCACCACAACAGCAAACGAGTAACCTTAAACTCACTCCTAACTACAACTATCTCACCACAGACAAACGTTTGCCCATTGCCACCCAAACTTAGTCTTCGTGGTCTTCCCATTCAAGTATTTGACGTTATTCGCATAATAACAACCCACATTACGCAATTCTCAGAGACCTAAGGGGTCTAACTTCTCAAACATACTAATATGCACAGCATATGTATTTACAGCCTAGAGTCCAGCTATTGTATTACAGACTGTAATACATTAGTGACATATGTGGCATATAGGTAACACGTTGTACAGGCCTGGGGCCATGGAGGGTCACTTGCCATGAGATCAGCATTGTTAACGTATTTGTATAGACCATTCTGACAATGGGGTTATCAAGTAAATATCTATGCGCGAAAACAAAAGAATATGGCCACTGAAATTTAAAAAAAACATGAGCTTATGGAAAACACTATTTGTCATTTAGCCCTATTTCGGGATTCGTTGGTTTTCTGTTTAACCCTCAGATTGGCTAGTGACACTTAAACTCAAAATGGTTATATTTCATTTTGATTCAAAATAACCCTCGCACGGCATGTTACCACTATGCGCATGCGTTTCAAATTACCGGTACGTACGATTAATTTAAAGTTCGCGCGCATTTGCATACTTTGATATACAATTCAACGAACAATGTTGAATGTTAAAAAGCGATATTTATAACTCATTATGTATCTGAACTTGTAATAACAAACATTAAAACCAAAAGTACTGCTATTTAGATAATGATCTGTATTAACAATAATAATGTACTTTTCTTTGCATTGCATTGCATTACAGAATTTGAAATCACAAATACGCAAAATATCATCCTTCTTGGGGCGCCCTCTATCGGATGAGTTGTTGGATAAAATCAGTGAGCATTGTAGCTTTAAGAAAATGAAAGAGAATCCCATTACAGTTCGAGAGAATGTCTGTAAATTGTGGGGAATTGATCCTTCAGAATCACCCTTTGTCAGAAATGGTAAGGCATGTCTATATTTACATTCA